GGTTTACCTCGACGATGTATTGGTTATGGGAAGAACTTTTGAGGAGCATTTGCGAAATTTAGAAGAAGTCTTTGGCCGCATACGGAATGCTCACCTGTACTTGAACCCGAAGAAGTGTAGCTTATTCCAGCGACAAGTGGAATTCTTGGGTCATGTAGTCTCGGCAGACGGAATTTACACCGACCAGAAGAAAATCGCTGCGATCAAGGATTGGCCTAAACCTCGCGACAAACATGAACTTAGAAGTTTTCTGGGTTTATGCACCTATTACAGAAGATTTGTCAAGGGATTTGCCAATATAGCTGCACCCTTACATAGACTTACAGGTGATGAAGTCGGCTACGAATGGAACACCGATTGTGATGTAGCCTTTGGAAGACTTAAGGCGGCTTTATGTTCAAGTCCTATTTTAGCCTACCCACAACAACAAGGGAGGTATATCCTGGATACCGACGCCAGCAACATCGGCATCGGTGCAGTGCTATCACAAGTGCAAGATGGCGAAGAACGAGTGATAGAATATTACAGTCGAGTTCTATCTAAACCAGAAAGGAATTACTGCGTTACCCGGAAGGAGCTGCTAGCAATTGTGAAGGCAGTTGATCATTTTCATAAATACCTGTATGGCCAAGAATTTTTAATTAGGACAGATCATGCGGCTCTCAAATGGCTTATGGAGATGAAACAACCTGAAGGTCAAATAGCACGATGGCTCGAGAAGCTCCAGCAGTATCACTTTACCATCCAACATCGTGCTGGAAAGATGCATGGTAACGCAGACGGTTTATCCAGAAGACCCTGTCAAATCGATTGTAAGCACTGCAGTAAAACGGAACAACGTGAAATTACTGTCATGATAAGGAGTTTTAAGCTTGGAACCGATGAACAGTGGACGACGACACAATTGAGGAACGACCAAATGGAAGATCCAGACATCGGAGCAATACTACGGCTCAAGGAAGGTAACGGCGAGAGACCACCGTGGCAGGATATTGCAAACAGAGGGCTCGTTTTCAAAGCTCTCTGGGCTCAGTGGAATTCACTGGTTATTGAGAATGGATTGTTAAAGCGCACGTGGGAAAGTGCGGATGGCAGGACAGTAACAACTCAGTTACTGGTACCAAGAAAGAAAGTTACCCAGGTATTGGAAGAAATTCATGGTGGTAAAACTGGAGCCCATCTTGGAGTAAACAAGACCTTGAGCAAGCTGAGAGATCGTTTTTACTGGGTGGATTATTGCGAAGATGTCAAGAAATGGTGTCGACAATGTAAAACTTGTGCAGCCAGCCAAGGACCAAGCACTCGCTCTAGGGGAAAAATGAAACAATATAACGTTGGACTGCCATTCGAAAGAATCGCTGTTGACATTGCAGGCCCATTCCCTGAAACGCACAAGGGCAACAAGTACGTTTTAGTAGCGATGGATTATTTCAGTAAATGGCCAGAAGTTTTTGCCATTCCAAACCAAGAAGCATCGACTGTAGCTGAAGTATTGGTCAATAATGTCTTCAGTAGATTTGGAATTCCCTTAGAGCTTCACACTGACCAAGGAAGGAACTTCGAGTCAAGACTGTTCCAGAAGATGTGTGATCTGCTTGGTATTCACAAGACTAGGACAACAGCTTTACATCCGCAGTCTGATGGGATGGTCGAAAGATTCAATAAGACCATTGAAGAACACCTCTCGAAAATGGTGGCCGAACATCAAAGAGATTGGGATCAACACATACCGCTGTTCCTAATGGCGTATAGAAGTGCAGTTCACAACACCACCGGACTTTCACCATCGAAGATTTTATTTGGTCGAGAATTACGGTTGCCTTGTGACTTGGTGTTCGGATCACCAGACGACGGCACCACAAATGTAGAGGACTACGCGGATGAACTGAAGGAAAGGTTAATGGAAATTCATAAGGCCGTAAGAAGTAAGATTACGCTAGCCAGTGACCGGATGAAAGCTCGTTACGACCTCAGAGCCAATTCTACGGGATTTCAACAGGACGATATGGTATGGTTATATAACCCACAGCGCAAGAAAGGGAGGTCCCCAAAGTTAACTCCAGCATGGGAAGGTCCTTATACAGTCATCAAGAGGATAAATGATGTTGTGTACCGGATTCAACGCAGCCCTAGAAGTAAGATGAAAGTAGTTCATCTGGATCGATTGAAGAGATACCAGACAGGAACCTTGATCGGGACGATCAAATTTGAGAAAGGGGCAATGTCAAGAAAAATGGCGTATCCGCCAGAAATTAAAAATGTATTACTGGTTGCCTGCACAACCGCAACGTATCCGCCAGAAATTAAAAGACTTTTTCAGGCGCCATCTTTTAGTCAATTCGAGAAGTAAGGGAATCAGACAATGGAATTGTCTGGTATGAAAAAGTACGCTTTCCGAGAATTGGGGAAATTTCGAGAAGCAGTCAATAGAGTATATAAGCCGGAGCCATCGACAACTGAGGGAGTTTTTGAAATTTGAATATACCGCGTGGAAATTGAAAATCGGACAATTTGGTGAAGGAATCTTATAAATAGTTAGTTTGTTGTGTGTTATAAGTTAATAATTGTGTATAAAGTGAGAAAATAAATTCGTTAAGTATTTTATCGTGAGTTTAAATTAGTGGACCCACGGAATCCGTAACAGTATTTAAGATAATTACAAAAAACCTAATTTTAAAAAGTTTTAACATCCCTGTAACTCTAAAACTATGCATTTCCATACACATTAATGATGCGTTTAGACTTGAGCACGCACGAGCTGAGCGTGCGCGCACGGCATTTGTTCGCGCTCTCCGCTCCGTTCAAATTAAAAACTTATTTTTCGACGAATGAAGTGATCCATTTGTGCGCGCACAGCAGAGTTGTGTCGGCGAAAATAATGGACGACCAAGAAATAGTCGAGGCTGCAGTCATTGTTATGCACAGCTTAATTATTAAAAAGGAGAAAAATCGAAACATCGTCGCTGGTGGCAAACCCTAATTTTTAGAAATCGATACAATTTACTGCAACAACTTGGTGTCTGAAGAGGGCTATGATCAATTCAAAAACTTTACAAGAATAACCAGACCCGACTTTGAATATTTACAAAATTTAATAACACCAAAAATTACGAACAAAAGATACAAATTTTAGAATAGCAATTGCATTAATATCGACATATTCAATATTAATTTTATTTACAAGATCTTGCCATGCGTTTTTTTTATTTTTTAATAATACAAACAAATAATGTTTAACATCCCATAATATAGGCAACTTTTCATATTCTTCAATTAATAATAACGAAGATTCATTGATCCACTCCATAATTTTAATAAAGAAAACGAAAAAAAATCACACACGAACGCAGACAAAACAAATTACCGGTGCAAACTGAGCGTTCGGGCACACATAAAATCCCTTTGAGCACGGACCAAAAACCGACACCAGACGGCTCACGTTCGCGGCTGCTCGCGCACAGACAGATTCAGAATGAGCGTGCGCGCATAGCCGTTTACACTTGAGCATTTGCGGAAGATCAGTGCGTGCGTGCTCAAGTCTAAACGCACCATAATATGTTTATAGGAACTTTTTTTCATATTTTTTGATAAGGAATCAATGAGTACTTATTTAAAACTTTCCCAAGTTAATGATATTAAAATTTTTAACGCTTCGCCCTACGTGGGAGAAAGGCGCGCGATTCGGGCGGTGCGAGCGACGCGTATTTATCAAACGTTTTCTTACGGAGCTGTCCTACGTAGGAGATGCGCGCGGTGTCGTAAAAGCAACCGTTTACGCTTCGTCCTACTGCAAAAGCTGCTTTGGAAATGTTTTCATAAAAATATTAAAATTTTCCATAGCACTAAATTTACAGCGATTTGTCAAAAATACACATTTTTCACCCCGTAACTCCGGAACGGTAACAGATATCGAGTTGCGGTTTTTACCAGTCATGTTTTTAATAAAAAAACATAAGCTCCAGACACCGATATTAGTTTCCGTCTATCTCCTATTGAAAAGGCTGTATCCCTTTAAAAGTGTCCAATTTGGCCCGCCCTGTATGCATAAAATATTGGTTTTCGAAATATCTAAAAACATTTTTGTTTCTAGGTGTAGGTGTAGGTCATCTAAAACCTGATGGTGTAAATCACTAAACACTTGTAAATTAAAACATTATATCTACATATTCGATAATTTGTGTTATTTAAACAAAATCGGAAAATAAATGGCATCAGATGGTTTTGAAATTACGATCGCTGTCATTTTTTACTACTTATAATACCTACTTGGGTAAAATTACCCCTACTTGGTATTTACAAGCACGAATTTAATGAAAATAAAAATGTTGTCAACGGTCAACGGATATACCGTATGATCGAAAAAAAAACGGCGTCCATGCAGTTGGCTTGGAAATGAATATGACATCACAGCATGACATTCCCCATATAATTTTACATATAAAATGACCGTGATCGTCATTTCAAAACCATCGTTCACGCCGTTTTTTTTTTCGATCACAAAGTATTTACGCATCTTCACATGACGTTTTTGTTATATTTTTGTGCGCAAATTTATTATAAAATTATTGAATTTAAATATAACATAAAATAATATGTACATATATAAAATAAGTTGACTAGTACCCAGGTTTAAATATTTTAAAGTAAATTTGTTCAAACAAATCAAAATAAGCTGTATCATAAATACCTCTACCCCATCTCTATCCTTCATAATTATAAATAACTTCAAAATAAATATAATAATAAACTGATAATAAATAAAACAGTATTTTTTATTTATTATAGTATCAAATCAGACTCCTTTTTCTTCCGTAGCAGCGACTACGGCGACTAATGACCAATCCCAGTGACCCTAGATAATAAAACGCTCTGATTTTTTAGCAAGCTCTGCTCCTTGCTCTGCTCCAAGGGCTCCACTCTACAAAAAAACGCGCTCATTATAGTCATATGTTTTACTTCATGATCAAAAATCCCAACCGTCATATATCAAAATGACAATTGACAGTGGGGGCCATTTTAATGGCCGTCAATTATCGGTGTCGGTTTGTTAAGAAATTAAAATGTAAAGTTTATGTGTAAAACTGAGAGATTTTGTGATAATATTCTGTCTTAAATAAAAGTGTTAATTTGCTTGACGAAAAATTTTGTGGAACTTATACTTTCCAATGTGGAAGCAGTTGGAAATGGGGCTTAGAGCATTCTTGCTTTTAGCCTCAAGAATATGGACCTGTTTATGTTTCACTTTGAAAAAACAGACCAGAGCTGTAAGTAATCTTTATCTAAAAATACACTAATATGAGCTGCAATATCTTTTTCGTTGAACTTTCTATTTTATTCAGAATGCGCTCAATAATTTTATTTATTATTTATAGTAAAATACAAACACGAATATTATTTATCCAATATCAAAAAAGCTTTTCTGTATAAACCTAAATAAAGGCAACTTTTTGGTTTCAAATAATATTTTTGGCAACTTGAAAATTGGCAATAGTCCAATTAAAAATTATTTTTTTAGATAATCCAACACCAATCTGTAAAGTATGACTTATTTCCTTTATCCCCTTTATCAAGGCATAGATTAAGTAAGTATATAGTTATCAAATTTAATTTTATCAGTTATCTCACAAGAATATCAATTTTTTTAGATATATTTAAATAATAAATAACATATCTGAAAAATGTGTTGTATGTTAATTTTGAATTAATATTTTAGGTATAGTTAGACGTAAAGTTTTAGTTCTTGATTTGGATGAAACTTTAATACACTCACAACATGATGGAGTTGTCAGACCGACTGTACGGCCAGGAGTTCCTCCAGATTTTGTTCTAAAAGTTACAATTGACAGACATCCTGTTCGGTTTTTTGTCCATAAAAGACCCCATGTGGATTTCTTTTTGGATATTGTAAGTTCCTTTATCTTGTTTCCTAAATTATTGAGCATTATTTTTTTTTGGTATATTTCAGGTTTCACAATGGTATGAATTAGTTGTATTCACGGCAAGTATGGAAATTTATGGAGCAGCTGTTGCAGATAAGTTAGATGCAGGTCGAGGGATTTTACAAAGGCGTTTTTATAGACAGCATTGTACCCCAGATTTTGGATCATATACAAAAGACTTAAGTGCCATATGCAATGATCTCTCTAGTGTATTTATCCTGGATAATAGTCCAGGAGCTTATAAAGCTTATCCTGGTAGGTATGATGTTCTATTTTAAGAGGCATGTACAGGGTGGTCTGAATCATATTTGGGAAACTTCAGCATCATATTCTGCAGATAAAAATAAGAATAAGAGTTTGTATAAATGTATGTCCTAAAATGCTTAGTCTCAGATACAGGGTGTAAAAGTTTTATTTTTATTTTGATTTTTTTCTAAATAATTTATAACGTCGTCATTTTATTTTATCTTTGCAAGTCTCTTGGCTTCATCCAGACCTTAACCTATAGACACAATAGCTAAGTCGTCCGCGAAGGCTATCGTGTAGACGCCACTGGGTTGATTGATGGCGAGGACTGGATAGTTCAGAAATTATTTGGAAAAAATCGAAATAAAAACGAAACTTCTACACCCTGAATCTCCAAAACTAAGCATTTTAGGATACACTCTATATGAACTTTTTTTGAAATTTTTAAGAATGTCAATTATCAACTTGTGTATAGTGCTAATAATAAATTGCAACAATTATTAGGTAACAAAAGGATAAAACACCTCCACTAGAAAGGTTGGGTATTTATGAAATTTCTTGTAAAGATTCTAATCAGAAATATGTTGGGCAAACTAGAAGATCAATATTAACTAGATTTGAAGAACATTTAGCTCAGATAAGATATGGCAGACCGGATAAATCTTGCCTTGCTAAACATATTGTTGATAAAGAACAATGTATAGATCTTAATAATTTAAAATTAATTAAACAAGTCTCAAATTACAGGCAATTAGATGCATATGAAAGCATCAGAATTAATAAATGAAAAGATAGTATGAACAGAGACAACGGTCAATCCTTCAAGTTCTTTGTTCCTACTACTCTAGTAGTGGAAATCTACCTATTACGCTCAGTGGGGTCTGACTCGGTTGGCTAGATCTTGCCACGCCCACTCGGTACCCACTGAGCGAGTATATAAACGCTCAAATTGTACTTTTTAGATTAGTATTGGTCATCTGCTGATGATGCTAACATGGTTAGCGAAACGCGCGTCCAGTAAAAGTGTTTTGCTGTATTGTGGTGATTTAGTGTTTTATTTTGCTATTTTTATCTGCAGAATATGTCTCCCAAATAGAATTTGGACCAACCTGTATATTTAGTCAGTAAAGAATGAGTGAAAATATTATAATATTGGTTAATTTTTAGATAATGCTATTCCAATTAAGTCATGGTTCTCGGATCCTACTGATATGGCACTGCTCAATCTCCTGCCCGTATTAGACGCATTAAGATTTACCACCGATGTCCGGTCTGTCCTGAGTCGCAATCTACATCTGCACAGGCTCTGGTAGGACTTCATCATCTTTTCTTTAGGCCAGCTGTTTTAGTTTAGAATTCCATTAGGCAAGAAGGTGAGTGCTGGTGTTGCCGCACGGAAGCGGACGGTTTTAGGTATTCGGTAATATTTTTGCAAGGAATATTGTAAATACTTGTATTTATTCGATCGCAGAACGTAAAAATATTAATTTACCTAGTGTACATATCATACATTGGCGGCAACACTGGTACTCGTTCGTCCTTCGTCCCGCTCATTGACTTGCGCTCTTTGCAGCGGAACTGGAAATTCAGTAGCGCTGGGCCCCGCACGATCTCGACCCGCAGAGAGTGTCAGCGCTAAGCCCAAGAACGAACTGGACAGTTTGGCCGAAAGCGTGGTCGCTAGAGTTGACGAGTCAGCCTTGGAGCCGGCGGCGGCCGAGAACGATACGGCCGCGAGCCCGAAAGACAAGAGGTTTAAATCGCGAATTCCGCAGCGCATGTGCAATTGACGCCAGCGGAAATAGGAAAAGGGGAGGAGGGGGGTCGTGAGCAGGACTGGTGGCACTAGGCTAAATCTGTGAACTTAACGTAGACAATGTTTCTATGGTCATTTCGAGTGAGATAAGCTTTATTTTCCCTTGTAAAGTGTAATTTTTGTATATAAATTTCATTAATATTCAATAAAAGATGTATGTTCTACTAAATTGGACATAATATGGCTGTTTTACATGTTGCAAGACTTCCTGCAAGCTCTTGCAGTTTACTTTATATGTTGCAACTCTATTGCGATCGTTGGTTGGTGGTTGCTTAGTTAAACAGCTATTTGTTCTAAAGCTGTTTTGCGGTGCAAATTTCCAGCGCAATTAGGTGGGAAAACCACTAGGCTATCAGGTAATCCCGTTTGTTTTTTGAGAATATATGTTTTTGAAAGTTTCACTGCTTATTTTCGAAAATAAAAAATCTCCAAATAAATAAAATAGTTCCTTCTACGCTGGCATTATCCGGCTGCGTACCCCCGTGATAACGTAAAAAGTTTGTCTTTAATTAGTTTACACATGGCACTTTAAAGTAGGCGAACTTCGAGAAAAATTCACAATATATCACTCAACAAATCAAGGGCGACGGCCCAGCTACGTCGAAACACCGGTTACCATTAGAACACCAAAGTTAAGCGACGTAAGGCGATACTCGTGGATGGACGGGTGACCGGTTCGAAACTCTGTATCGTGCTGTTGTCGAATAAAGGCAAAAGTGTAAAATCTATTGACACACACTGCTCATTCACGTCGGTTCGAGGCCGAATGAGATCGGATATCTCGTGAGTAAAGAGTCGATTTAGACACTTGCCAAGTCGGTAGGCCATTGACCATGATATGGCCGAGGATCGCGGTTCGGATTCCGCTTAAACAATGTAGGCCCCGTCCAGATTAGCCCTGGCAGCAAAAAGGAGACGTTAATTTGAAATCTTTACTCAACAAATCACTAGATCGAACTTGTACGATGCTAATAAATGATTTAACAAAAGATTACTAATATTTTTACAGATTAAAGACCCCAAACTATCAGCCATCAGAGAGTTAATTATTTTGCCACGAGGACTGACAGAACGGAAGTGGGTTGAATTGAACGGAATTCGGAATTGCGATCGACGTCCCGTTAATTCGCCGTCAAACCGACGTTGCCAAATTTATCACTTATAAAAATAAACTTGTAAAAAACAGATTAATGGTGGGTTCATACAGCCAAATAAAATAAAATAAGAATAAAATAAAATAAAATAAGAAAGTTGGTTATATGGGATACCGTACATGCGTTCATACAGCCAAATAAAATAACAAATAAAATAAGAAGTCTTTATCTTTTAACTTCTTGTTTTATTTTATGTGAAAACGGCTTTGCGCACGCTTAATTCTAACCTACAAATATTTTCAGTTTGGATTTAATTTATTTTATAATTTCACATAAGTAAAATGTATAATATAGTAGGCAACGAATAAATAAATATACTATAAATAGTAAAATTACTATAAACAATCGTAAAAGTTAACTTTTATCCAGCCTCATCGTACTGCGCATGAGCAAATATATATTTCTTATTTTATTTTATTTGACTGTATGAACGCACACAAATAAGAATTCCTTATTTCTTATTTTATTTTATTCTTATTTTATTTTATTTGGCTGTATGAACCCACCATAACCCTCCAAAGAAGTTGAAACCAACGCAATCAAACCTCTTTTGTGCATCTAACTGTACCGTGTAACTTTACAACCCGCAGTTTTGCACGCGTATGTATAAACGATAATCAGTCGGGTATTTCGCGTGCAATTCAAACAAAAAAAACATACCCCAGAGACTAACCAACACAAAAGTAAATAGAAAAATAAGACAACTGTAGAAAAATAAAAAAGTTCTGTATTTGTGGGACACGAACCTGGGACCTCTCGATCCCGAAGCCACGGCCTTACCAATGGAGCCACAGCTTCTCTTGCAAACTCTCTACAGCTAGGCATTACTTTCCGCCGTTCCACCGAGGACAAATACGCATGCGCAACTATGCCATTCCTCCAATATAGCGACTGCCTGTAAAGTTCGGCAACATTGGTTTGGCGGCGAATTAAGGAATCATTTGCAATCGTTGTTTCTGTCAACTTGAAAAAAAAAACAAAACTTACCTTAACCTAACTTTTTAAATGTAAATATTTATGCTTATGCGTAGGTACACCTAATAGCTATAAAGTTTATGGTTCTCTTCAAAATACTATTTATATTTAGATAAAAATAACACCGGGTTTATATAACATAGTCGTAATCATAATCACAATTTTAGTCACAATCATAAAAGTGATTACGACAAAAATTGAAGATCGCATGCGCGGCGTCATTTTTTATGTCGTCCTTCTTAATAAGAAAACTTGGGTTAGAGAACATTAATTATTGTTAATTTCCATGTTTAATACTTATGGTTAGGTCACATACTTATGCTAAGGTGCCCGGTGGCGTAGAGGTACAGGCTCTCGTCTACCAATCTCAAGGTTGTGGGTTCGAATCCTACACCCGGCATTACATCAGCCGACTATTTTTATTAAAATAAAAATAGTTTGGGTACCTAGGTCGACTCAGCCTTAAATGAGGACTTGGGATTCACAATCCTGAGGTAATAATAGGCGGTTGAAGCGTAGTGCTAGCCACATTACCTTCCTTGTATACCGAACGGCTCTAGTATGGCAAGCTGTACCTTGCTACTCCCAAGGCGTTAAACGCTATATACGGGAGCTATTATTATTATTCTAATACTCATGGTAACTTTCGTGTTTAAAAAACCGGAGTAATAAAATTTAAACAAATATATACACTTCTAAAATCATTATGAAATAAAAAATATGAAAATTAGGTTATTGTTCAACTGTATTAACGTATGGCATATTAAAATTGTGACTGTGCTCATAATGATGACTAAAATTGTGATTATTATTACTATGTTCTAATCATAATCAAAGCCCAGCATAAAGCGAGGTCGCTATTCAAACAAAAACATAAAAAACGAACTGTGAAACTTGTCGGTCTAGTGAGATTTATTTACCTTGGAAAAACTAACGTTACTAGATTTTCCCCCATACTTGCAGTTGCAGAAATATCGAGCAGAACCGATAAATTGCATTTGCGGATATCAATTAGCTGGGCCACAATGCTTTTGGGAAATATTTATTGTAAATTGCACCGTCTTGAAGGAAGTCTTGCAGCATGCAAAACGACCTATATTATATGGTGTTGGTGGGATACAATCACCAAAATCTAAATTACTTTCGTTACATGATCCTTAGTACTTGCCAGTGATAGTGTCAACTACTATAGACATATAGTTGGTTTGCAAATGAGTTTTGTATAATTAATATTTCTGAAAATAGAAAAAAAAACTTTAAATGTTATAATCATTATTTTGTTACATTCAGTAACTTATAAATCTTAGGCTAAGTACACACTGAGCGAATTTTGTCGACTCGACTGTCGGCTCGTCGGTTAAGCCGCCGAGAGGAGCAGGACTTTTATTCTAAGTTTAAGACGAGGCAGAGGGTGGCTCATTAACATATTTAGAAAAATCATTTTTTTACGAATAATTTGGTACCCCACATTCGGTATTTCGAGTCAAATTGTAGTTATGAACCGCATGTTACAATTTCCAGTTAAACCATATGCGAAAATGTCAAAAGTTGATATATGATATGTCAGTAAAGTTGATATATGATATGTCATACTATTCAGAGTGTAATTTTCTATCAAATAAAGAACTAAAAAAACCGAGCGTGTCATTAAAAAAAAAACAAAAGTTGAAGTTATTTACGGTGAAACAGGATTCAATACAAGTCAATTGAATACGTACATAGACAATTATACATGTTGTTAATTTGTTTATTACTCGCGGCAAGAGCTTTATAGTTGAAATATGGCAAACTTGGCCCGCTCGTCGAGAGATGACGGGACGAGTCGGAAGCTTAGCTTAGTACTCATTTGGAATTGGATGCAGTGTTGCCATTCTGTTCCCCTATAAGTAACCGTCCAGTTAACAACCTATATACCTAGTACAGTATTTAAATATTAAAATCGCAATCGCAGGTTACACTCGCAGCGATTCAAAAATCGCAATCGAAGTTTCAATTGCGATTGGAGAATCTCAGTTATGTTCATCTCTAATATTTAATCTAAGTATAGAACCATCCGTCGAGACGACGCGACCGTCTATTCGGTGGCCGAGTCGACAAAATCACGCGTTGTGTGCACTCGACCTTATAAGTCTTTAAGATAATGATGGCCTATATATGTACATATATAATACACTAGCTTTTGTAATTGTAATTGTAACTTGAAAGATATCGAAAATAAGAAAAAAATAAAACTTAAATAATATATTTGTTTTTAGTTTTGCATATAAAATCAAAAATAGTCAAATAATATTACATTGTTACTAGATTTACTTTGTTATACCAATCTTCTACAAGTCATATTCCTTGGACATTAGTATAAATAGGGGAAACATATGAACAAATTGTTTTTTTTTGCATAAATGCGACATTGATATTATAGAAGTATACTGCGGTACATATGGTAACGATTCATGTAAATGTGGATCTACGCCTACATAACTTATACTGCTAAATAATGTCCATACTTTTGTGGCCAGTTTATTACAGAAAAATATCTCGTTATTTTGCCACTGACACAGGAAACTAAAAAAAATATATTTTTTTTTTGTAAAATGTTACTCCAACATAAACCAGCTGTTCAGTAACTCTTATCAAACAAATTAGTCGAACCAAAAAAAGCACTTATTTTTCTAACTCACAATAATTATTGCATATCGCTCAAATGCGGCAACAAGAAGTACAATATAACCGAAAAAAAAACGGCGTCAGCGATGGTTATGAAATGAAGATCACTGAACGGAAATGGACAAATTAACGGTAACAGGTCTTCCGATACCGGTTCTATACCGGTATCGGATATATATCTATACATACATACATAATACATACTGGCATTACTCGCCTGACGAGTATTCGACACACACCAGAAGATGGTCACGCAAGGCGTTTTCTTTCATGAGCTTTTCTGTGACTGAAAAGCCCGATACGTGATGTTATCTGCCTACCGCACTCCGGACATTCAAAAATCTCATTACTTTGTTCCTCTTTACTTTTTGGTTGTCGCTGTTAACTGACTACAATTTTTCTCCATTCCGTTCTATTGTGAACTGCTTCTTCCCACTCATTCTGCATGTTAATCCCCTTTAAGTTTGCGTGGAAAATGTCCTTGTACGTTTTCAGTTGTTCACCCGGCCTCCTCTTACCGTCTACAAGCTCACCGTAAAGGAGAGATTTTGGTATGCGGTTTTCTTGCATTTTGCATACGTGACGAGCCCATCTTAGGCGGGATTTTGTAATCATGACTTCAATACTCTCGCAGTTAGCTTTTTCAAGGACCGGTACGTTTGAGACATGATGGGACCACCGGATTCGTAAGAGTTGTCTAAGGTGTCTCTGTTGCAACTTGTTTAAAGCGTTCAGGTGTCGGCGCAGCAGTACGGCATCGGCACCCAGGTTTCGTTCCCATATAACATGGGATTATAATTGCTCACTGCAAGTTTCGTTTTTGTACTCAAGTCATGATTGTAGAAAACCCTGTCTTTTAATTTCCAGAATGCTCTTGAGGCGCTGCTAATCCTGTGATGAATTTCAGAGT